CTGAATTACAAAAATCTACAAGAGTTGAGATACAAAATTTCATTTATTAATGGAAAAGGCATTATATGCTGAGTAAAAGTTCCATAATGCTAAGGCATAAAATTGGCAAATTCTATATTTAAGAATCCAATATTCCAAAATGTGTGCTGTTTTGCACATGGTGAATAAAAAACATGGGGAAAAATTCAGCACAGGTTGCTATGTAAAGTGTTGCAAAATGTGAATTTAAAATTAGAACTCAAGTTAACACCATCAATACATATAATAATCATAGTTTCAATTAAAGATGGTATAACTGTTAAAGATAAAATACTGATTTTATTGAAAACCTTGATGATTAATGTGTACAATCTACATTTTCTGACAGAAGTGTTTGGCTTTTCCATTGCTCAGAAATTGTCATCACGGTATTTGCCAGTGAGTGAAACTGGGACAGATTGATTTTCCCAGGCCAGACCCAGCATTTGGTTTTCCAAGGGATATCTATCTCCTGCTCTCTTTTAAACATCCTATCTAGCTGCATTTATTATGCCCAGTCAGGGTGCTGAGCACTCCACGTGGGTGATGCCATCCGTCTACACCAGGACCCTGTGAAGCAGACCCACAGTTCCATTATAAAGACAGGGAAACAGAGGTTCAGGAAGGTCCAGTAGCTTGTGAAAGCCACAGGTGGTGGATGGCAGTACTGTGATTCCAAGGCAAGTCAGTCTGACTCGGAGCCTGAGCTCTTAACCACCAGGCCACACTGTCTCCCATTCGCCTGCCTTCTTAGCACTTGAAATGTTTTAAGGAAGTTTCCAGAGTTTCAGTGACGCAGTCGACGCAGAAGGGTTGTTACGCATTTTCAAAAGACCATTTATTCATTTGTTTCTGTCATTTGCAGAGAATAAGTGGTCCTTGTTGCCCAAAAAGCCTAGGTTGCTACTTTAATCCTTAAAGAAAATACGTTGGAAAAAAATGAGGGAGGTTGGTGATAACACAACAAGCAAAGGTAAATAGAAATAGCTCCTCACAGTTAAGCATTTTGTCTATTTTTTGTGAGTTTGTAATGAATTTTTAAACGAAGACCATGAGTTCCTTTATGCAGTGGTGTGTGTGTGTCTATGACATTTAGTTAATTTATTTTTTTTGAATCATGTCTTTTTTCTGAGTCTATTCATGTTTGGTATTAACTACATTTAGGGATTTTGACAGTTATCTTGGGAAATCAATAAAGCTTAGGTTTAGTCAATATGAGAATATAATAAGATTTATTTGAGTTGTAAAGTAAATATAAGCTACAAATACCACACACTCCAGCCCTCTCCAGAGATTTTTTTTCCGGGAATCTGAAATAATAATAATATTTTGTGGATAGTAGTACTCTGTTACGTACGTATCTGTTATCTGACTTGAGGTTTACAACTCTAGGTAGGCAGGAGCCGTGTCCCCATTTTACTCGTGAGTCTTGAAGATGTTAAGTCAAGTTTTCATGGCCAAGAAGTGGCAGGGCAGGTAAAATGCCTCACTTTCCTTTGCTTATAGGACTTAACTCACTCCAATATGATTAAAAATCAATGATAAAAATATCAAGTTTGCTAAGGTAAAGGCATACTGTGTACGTCAGTTCTGACTGGACTGAATTACAAGTAATTTGCAGTTTTTTCCTGCTTCTTATGTTCAGAGTGACTGCATATTGACAGACCTACAAAATGTCACTATTTCTGTTCTACAGTGGAGACCAGGACCCTAAGAACACAGCATACTGTTGTCCTCCTCTCCAGATCAGAGACGGGAGAAAAAAGAAATCCTTCAATGTCTTGTGCTGGTTAATGTCTCCCAGTTTCCCAATCAGCATGGAACCTTCACCAATAGTTTTCTTAAAAATAAGAGAGAGATAAGCTTTCTTCAGAAAATGGAATATCTCTTTGCCCATTAGTGTCAGCTAAGAGGATATTTCGTGACCTGTCCTCGCTATTGTGAGTATTCCACCACTCACGAAAGGTACCACTAGTGTCTGAACACTAGTTTGCTGGTTTGCTTGGTCAGCTGACTACAGCAGGTGTTAAGGAGGCCAAGGCTGTGTGGGTTCTTATTGAAGTGTGAGCTACTACCATCAAAACCACTTTCTTTCCTCCCCCAACAATGACACCACCAGAGGGATCATTTCTGATGACATCTCCATCAGCTCAGATTAAGCTGCAGAGCTAAGGATGCTTCGCAAAGGCATGTGAATTCCATATTATCATTGGGTGAACAATCCAAAACCACACAAAGGATGCCTCTCAAATGCCTGTTCCTCCCAAGGGTGAGCCTGCAGCTCATTTTGATGGATCTAAGTCATGCCACACTTGGAATCCTCAGTCATAATCAGTCATAGCTCCAGCGGAGCATCTCAGGTTCAGACCTGAAGGCCACGGTTTACAGATCCAGCATTCTTCTACCTGGGGGTCTAAGCATTTGCTGAAGTTCAAAAGCTATCATTAAGAAGAGTACCGAATCCTTATGCTTACGCTTCAACCATTTAACATCTCTGACTCTCAGGATCAAAGTTCACCTGCAGTTAGTAATTTGAAAATTCCAGCCTTACCCCAAATGGCATGAGTTTAGAGCAGGCAGTTGACATGACTTGATTGCCAAGGTGTTTCATAATTAGTTAACACTTAAAACGGAAAGGGTGGGAGGGGCACACAGCCATAAACATCTACAAGTGGAAGGAAAAAACACACACAAAAACTAGGAACTTTTTACAAGCATTCCGTTGGTTTGGCCCGCTGGGTAAGACATTAGCGACTCTTCTGATTGACAGCTTCTGCCTTTCATATGCCTCCCACCCCACCCCCTCTGCCGCCAACTCTATCTGGAACGCCATTAGGATGGTGTAAACAGAGGGGCTGATTATCTAGCAACAGCCCTTGTTTTCTGCACGAGAAAGGCAACAAGTGCCCTTTAAAGGACAGCCCAGAACGCAAAGCCCAGACCTCCACAGGCCCGTTTCCAAACTAGCTGCCCTGGGAGTTTTCCAGGACACCAGCCCCCCACACGGAGTGCCCTCGGCTCCCCTTCGCAATCCCGGAGGTACCGGGAGAAGCAGGAGAGTAAGGAAAGGCTGCGGGGCACACTTCACAAGTACACTTTGGAGCCTGCGTCAAGGGCATGAGGCTCCACAAAGTTCGTGCATGCCTGGGGAGGAGGGAGACCCAGGGAGAACTGTGGGTTTTCCTGCGACTAAAAATCCGAATCTTGCCTGGGGAGGCTGAGGGGCTATCCATCAGTTCCCCAAACCCAAACGTTTCCGGGGCACTTCCATCCCAGGAAGGCGCCCGCAACGCCACTGCGCCCTGGGCAGGTGGGTGCCAGCCCCTGTGCGGAGGGTCGCCTAAAGTGCAGGGCGCTGGGAGACAATGCTGCCCGCTGGCCTCTTTTCCCAGCCGAGGGGCCCAGGCGGCGTCTCCCCCACCCACGCCCGGGTCCCCGAGACGAAAGAGTTGCACCGACCGTGGAGCTGGGCAGGCGCAGGCAGATACGCGGTCCTCGCGCAGCGCCTGGGTGAAAGGAAGCACAGCCCGCAAGGGTGGGTGGCGTGGGTGCCGGGCTCCGGCGTGACGGCCCGGGCTGCACAGCTGCCTCGACTTGGGAAAACTTCCTGGGCACCGTTTCTCTGGGGAGGTCTGCCTGAGCCCCCAGCTTCGGCCACCGGCTGAGATAGAGCCTCTCCGCCTCCTGTGCACAGTCGCCAGACCACAGGGATGACTGTACGCGAGCGCACTCGCGGGCGCGAGGACTCGCAAGAAAAAGAAAACTCCAGAGGAACACGCCTCCCGCCTGTCCGCCCCGTCTCCTCCAAAAGCTCCCAGACCTTCTGCTCCAATCTGGGACAGCCAGAAAGTCCTAACCTTCCAGCCCTCTCTGGAGGCAGCCACTATACAGCACAAAGCTGCCGCCCCCTCCCAGGCCCTGAAGGGCAGGAGTCTTTTAACTGTTTCCTTCCTGAATTGAAGATTGGGGAGGGCAGGGGGAGGGCGGTAATCGAGGGGGGAAGGGTAGTTGAACAGACAAGCCTGAGAAGTGAGGAAGGCCTTGCAGAGAAACCCATCACCCCCTTTCCAGAGGGTGCAGGCAGATTTGATCTGTGGTGGAGCCTCTGCAGACAGACCCAGGGTCCAATCGTGGTTTCTCCTGTGCTCCCTGCCCCTTTGCTTGGCTTGTATGCTCCCTTTTAACCTCACAGAAAGTTAAAGAGCCAAGGTGGACAGCAGTTTACTGGATCAAATACGTTTTGCTTCTGCCTTGTCCCTTGAAGCCAGCACCTTCAGGCTATGTACGTCCGGCTAGCCCAGGGCAATCGGGAACCCTTGAGAGTCTGTGGAAGGGTCCCGTGTGTGGCTGAGAGAAACCTATGATTTCCTCAAGAAACCCAAACAATGAGGGTACAAAGGCACAGAAGGTGGGTCTCGGCATCTTCACATGACAGAGATTGTATTCTAAATCGGGGAGGGAGAGAGGAGATGAGGGACGAAGGCCAATGCTGAGACGAGGAAACATCCAGGGCTCCTTAGAGAAGGCCCTGCCTCGGGCTCCTTCAATGCAAGGCTGGTGGGAGGCATAGCGTGGAAATGTGAGTTTGGAGCCCTGATCACGTGATGTTTCAGACAGTTCTGGTTATCTTTTGTAGCTAAAGGAAATCACCTTAAAATGGTAGTGGCCTAAAACAACCAGAGTCATTTACTTGACTCATCAATCTGCAATTTGGCTGGGTCTTGGCTGGGACAGCTCCTCTTTGCTGGGGCTGGAGGCTCTACTTCCAATATAGTTCACTGACTTGGTGAGTGAATGTTGGTTTTTCACCATGTGTGTCCCTCTACAAAGTGGTTTAGTCTTCCTCACAGCGTGGTGGCTGGGTTCCAAGGAGGAGTGTCCCAAGAGACAGGAAGTGGGAGCTGCCAGTTTCTTAAGGTCTGGGGCTGGAAAGTGGTACAGTGTCACCTTTGCATATTTCAATAGTTAAGCAGTCACAGATCCCAGATTCAAGGTGAGGGGATATGGACTCCATCTGTCAATGCGTGGAATGGCGAAAAATTGGGGATGGGGGGCATTGTGTAAAACCATCAAAGAGATCCACAGAGTATCACCATTGAAAGGGGCCTTAATAACCATCTAGTCCAATTAGACTAGGTATCATCATGAATCTGTTCTATCTACAGCATCTCCATGCTGAAGAGTCAGACAGCCAGGATAACCAGTAGCTTTTGTACGTGCGTCAGTTTGCATTTAAAAAAAAGAAAAGAAAAAAGGGGCCCCTTCAAGCACATGGCTTGGTAAGCTGACAATATTTTCAGGGAAGAAAAAGGTATTGTTTCTTCCCAGAAGAGGCAGCTCTACACCAGGGTTCACACCTTAGAATGCGAAACGTGTGCTGAATTTCAGCTCCTCCTCCCCTGGAGATCAGACATACCTGGACAGTGCACACCTTGCGCAGGTGAACATACCAATCTCTCCAGTCTTTGGTAGAGCACACACATCAGCCCCTGTCCCATGAGACAGCTTGTCCCACTGCGGTGCAGGGCTCGTTATAAAAACTCTTCCTCCACACCCATTTGGATGGCTATGATGAAAAAGCAGAAAGCAACAGTGTTGACAAGGATGTGGAGGAATTGGAACCCTTGTGCATTGCTGGTGGGGATGAAAAATAGTGCAGTCACCGTGGAAAACATTATGGCAATTTCTCAAAAATTTTAAAGTAAAATTACTGTATGATCCAGCAATTCCACTTCTGGGTATATACCCACAATAACTGGAGGCAGGGATTCTATTTTTTTTTTTTTTTTAGCTGAGCCATCCTGCCACCTGTTGGCAGCTCAACTCGGGCCATGAATCGAACTGGCGACCCTGTTGCTTGGAGCTCTCGCACTTTTGAGTGAGCTCTTACCCAACCGAGTCACTCAGCTGGCTCCAAGGCAGGGATTCTAACAGATATTTGTACACCTATGTTCATGACAGCATGATTCACAGGAGCCAAAAGATGGAAACAACCCCAATGTCCATCTGGGGATGAATGGATAAACAAAATGAGGCGTATCTACGTACAAGGAAGCATTATGTAGCTTTAGTAAAAAACTGAAATTCTGAAACACGCTACAACATAGGTGAAATGTGAAGACATTGTGCTAAGTGAGACAAGCCAGATGCAAAAGGACAGATGTACAGACCATGGACAGGAGGTACTTAGAGTAGTCGCAGAAATTGTACTGACAGAACGTAGCATGGCGGTTACCAGGGGCTGGGGAGAGAGAGGGATGAGGATTTGTTGTGTAATGTGTCTCAGAGTTTCAGTTTGGGAGGATGAAAAAGTCCTGGAGATGCGTGGTGGTGCTGGTTGCGCGACACTGTAAATGTCCTTAATGCCACAACTGTACAGTTGAAAATGGTTAAAATGACAAGTTTATATGCATTTTGCCATAATAAAAATAATTCTTCCTGACATTACGGTGAAACCTGCCTCCCTATACTAGTACCTGTGATCTGTCCTGCAAGTTCATAAAATGAGTTTACTGCCTCTTCTAAGAAAGATCTTCAAATATAAATAAATATATTTATGTGGCCCGCTGGCATGGATCTGCCTTTGTAAAGGGTTGGGGTCTGCCTCATTGTAGGTGAGAGAAACACCAAGTTTCCTTAGTTGCTTGAGAGTTGTATTCTCTTATCCCTGCTTTGCTTTAGGGGAAATTACTTAAGGATTTAAATCAATTTTCATGCAAATGAACCACCTCCAATAACCCCTCTCCCGCAGCCAAGGCTTTATGGACTTGCCCCACCTCGATATGCCTTGCTTTGTACTGTTAATATAATTAGTATATTTGACTAAGTTTCTCAACTTGACACCCAAAGGTTATTTCCTTTCTGTGAAAAGCAGGTTGCACTCAGATTTGCAGGTCTTCTGGGTTTCAGGGAGACTTTAAATCACACTTGACTTCTGGTTCACGCAGCTCATTATGTGGAGCATTACTGGGATGGTCGTTACAGTGACTTTTCTCACCATCATATCATCATTATTGATTCCCCGAAAGATAATTCTGAAGATGAAGACATACTTAAGATAACCCTTGAAAGCCAACTTTTCATGTGTCCTTAGGGTAAATGTTCCTATGAATTTAAGTTTCTTGATTCAAATTTGTAAATCTATTTTACAATCGCTAATTCCTAATATCCTCACACTTGAAATGCAATGAAGGATCTGAGTATTTGCTTAGGGATATTGTGTTCACTTGAGGGCTCCCTGAGGGAAATAAAACACGAGGGGTTCAGAGAAGAAACAGAGAGGTAAAGAAAGGCTGGAAAGCTGTTTGTGAGAGGAAAGGTGAAGGGACTGTGGAAAGGTTCCTCAGAGACCTGAACCTGGAACTGCGGCCTTCATCCTTGGCAGAGCTGTGGCCAAGATGTCCTGTTGGCAGGGGAGGGTCATCACTGGCCTCTGGAGAAGCAAAAGCAAGCCCTGTGAGGCAAAGGTCCATCTTTAATTAAAATTCACTACAGGTAGTTTGTTTTCAAAAGGAAATGTTCAAAAGTGTTAATTTGTAGATGGGTTGCTGAAGCATTTTGTTGAGCAAGACTGCAGGTTATCTTATGGAAATAAACATAAGGCAAATGTAGCCCAGTCTTTTGTAAACTGCAGGGGGCCTCATCGGGAGGGTGGAAAAATTAGGCAATATTAGCAACCCTAATGATCGGGCAAAGATGATTAGGTGTCCTCTGATGATATATTCCATCTGGCCAAAAAGTTTTAACTTGAGTCAAAACTATAGCACTTCCAGTTTCCAGGAAAGATAGAAGATAGACACACAAGTTAAACAAATACTGTGAGGAAGCAAAGAAAGAAAGGGCTATTTTTTTTCTAGATTAAGGAGAATTAAAGGAGCATGACAACTAGTTGTGCTGTCTTAGATTGGATCCTGGTTGTATAACGAACTGTAAAGGACATTTCTTTGACTACTGGAAAATTTTAGATTTAGATGAGGCATTAGATACTATTAAGACATTATTAATTTTATTAAATGATTATTAATTTTATTAAATGTGATTATTTGGGGCATATAGAAAACTGGTATTATATTCTAGAGATTCTTTTAGGGGCGATATAATTTACTTTTAACCACCAAAGCAAAAACAAAAATGGCATAAGATTAAAAAAAAAATGTAAAGTACCTAAAGGCTTGGCATATCACAGGAGCTCAATAAATAATAGCTCTTTTCACTTTCATTCGTTTCTTCCTTGTTTGTCAGTGAGGTACTGGCAGAACAGAATAAGCAGCTTTGCATGACAACCTGGGTGACCCCAGGAAGGTGTCAACAGCAGAGGTGACTGAAATGGAAAGATCCGAGGTGTCCAGGGAGCTACAAGGTCAAAGCTGGAAGGGAACCTGATGCCTTGAGTTGGCCTTGATGAGAACAATCACCAGTAGCAGAGCTCAACGACAAAGCAGCCGGGATCCTTTAACACAACAGGCAGGGGCTTGAAGATTTCTAGGTTTTGTTGGTGAAGACTAGAGGCCAAGAGGGGTGTGGTGATAACGTCATTGTGACTCTGACTTTTGCATGTTCCTGTAGGCTGGTATGGGTATGAACTCTTGGTTGCACTTATAATAAAAGACAAAATAATGCCTATGCTTGAATAAAGGAGACTTAATCAAAGGAGGTGACAGCAGGTGTTCTATGGAATAACTTCAGAGCAGAAGAGGTAAACGCAGTTAGGAGAGGTAAAGAGGCAATTACAGTTGCTTCTTTAGATATGTCAGGGAAACTTATGGTAGAGTTTGAAATTGGCAGGAGGGATTACCATGTATTCTGTGTTGTGCAACTTTCGGTGTTATCTGTGCCTTTCATCATCTTTGAGCTACTTACAACTCTGTAAGTTGCAGAAAACTGATGGTAATGCAAGGGATTCTTGTCCATAGATATAAAAATTAATTTTGCTTGGTAGAGGTGCA